AAACATACAATAAAATAATTATGATTGCCGTTGTTACTAAATAATCACTCCGGATTTATCATTAGCGTGTTAAAGTCGGAGTGGTTATTATTTAGGTGAACTGCGAGAGCGTCCCTAAATAATTTTCTGCAACCCCACACATTCTATATAAAAATAAATTAAAAATCCAACTTTTATAAAAACATTGGACAATTAATTTACCAATTTCTACCCCTAACTTTTTATCATCAAAAACTTTGTGTTGATTGGAACTCTCTTCTTTTACACTTTTTATTTTATCTTTAAAACCAAAAAGACCAAAATATTTTACAACTTCTTTTGTAAACTTTTGTTTAAATTAAATTAACTCACGTCTCCCTGAGGTTCGACACCCTACTTACAAGGGATTCTCTTTAGTTGTTATTTTTGCCCGTTCTATACTGCAAATCACCTCTTCTCTCTAAAAACCCTAAACCTCTTTTCTTTCCCTCGTCTACTGCCCGCTGCCGCGCCACACCTTGCGGCAGTTGTGTGATACGAAGGCCACCCGTATCATTAACGCACTTTCAAATCTTTCAAATCTGCTGCAGAGAAACTATTGGTACAATATTTTTAAAAGTATAGGGGTATTGGTGTAACTTTTAAAAATATGGCCAATCCATGCTATTTTGAAAGTTCATGAGTAAATGCTACAAAAAACTCCATAAATAAACTATGGACCTTTAATTTTGTGAGCGGATAATGCGTCTTGTTAGGACTGGTCCAAGTTTGGTTCAATCCGGCCTTATTTTTAAAATCATGTAAAAAGTTTATTTTTTTCGTTCTTTAAAAAATAAAAACATGTTTTTTTTGATAATACTTTGTTAATTTGTACGAAGTAATAATATATAACTATCTTTCTTTTTAACTCAAGTAATAACTATCTAATGCGAAATGAATATATACTTTCATCTAAAGTAGAAGTTATTACATTTATCTAAAGTAGAAGTTAGATAGAATAAAAAGTAATAATTTCCATATTTTGTTCATTTAAGCTTTTTGAATTTTGTTTTCACTATTTAATTTGTAAATTTATACTACTCCGTAGTAAAAATAATGTAAACTTTTGTTCTCTAAATTGATATGATAAGCGTATTTATATAAAAATTGAAATTCAAAGCGTAATTATGTTTGTAGAAAAACTATATTTCAAATGTATTACATCTCTATAGTTTTATTTCGTCCCAGTTTAGTCTTTCGGAAAAGACTACCGGCCTGACTTATATATGACGTGTCTAATACTTTACCAAAGTGCAACAACTTAACCAAATACGACCCTCAGTCTAAACCGGACCATTTTCAAGCTAAGGACCACTTTGATCTCATCATTGTCAATGCAAGTCCAACCTATTACGATATTTTTTTGAGGTTATTAGCCCTTAATTAGATGGAAATGAGGAGAAAGAACCCCAAGACCTCATAAGAGGTTCCTCTCTAATACATATCTTAACCAACGTAACAATTGTCCACTTTGTCCTCTTCCAAAGCTTGACGCACGGCATCCGATGGATGCTCAAGATCTCCCCAACCCACCGTAAATTATTTATGAGAAATTTCAAGATAGAATGTACTCCATCTCAATTACCCCATTATAGATAAATAAATTTGCCTGATTTTTTTAATCAAATTTATTTAATTGAATTACAATAAGGACAAGAATATAAGGAAAATAGGTCCCAAATGCTCAAAATAGCAGTATTAAATTTTTTGGACATAAACAAGAGTTATTTTTAAATAAAGTGACAAATTTGCATTATATTTACTCCGTATTTAATAACGTATGTTTGTTTGCATATTTTATCACACCTTATTTTATAAAACTTATGATGTAATTTTGAATAATGTAATTTGTACATTTCTAGATGACGGGCGGCATTGCGGCAATGGACACCCGAACCTATTCGAACACTTCCCAGTGGTGACTCAATTCTTTGATGTCGCGGTGGAACGTCGTTACGTCGGTCCTCGGCATCCTGGTGGAGTTTGAAGGAGCTAGAGGGCAAAGTGAGTGGGTAGAAATGGGCAGGATGTCATTTGGGCTTATAGGGTTAGACTATATGTTATGACGGGCTTGACGAGAGCTTGATGTAGTGCCATGCGTACACCCCGTTAAAAGTTGGGTATGAATAAAAATACAATGTGTTATGGGCTTTAAAAGGGGGGAGACGTGACCGAAAAGTTATGAGTAAAGATAAGAATTATTTTGATTGGTTGAGATGATATGTCTTATACTCTACAATATTATAAGTCATGCTACATGAATTTTAGGTTACACCTTATTTTTTACTTTAGTGCCTTAGAGATATTATAAATATGAAATTACTTTTCAAATATCTAATATCTGTAAAAATGTTGGAGTAAAAAATAAGGTGCAACTTACATTCTTTTTGAGATATTTTCTTGGAATGTAATTTTAACGCCAATATTTGAACATCAAGGTTTAACTTGAGTCTTAGAGACATTATTGACATATTCAACACTGTCTCATGTCTATAAAACTGAGATTAAATCTTAAGTTGAAAATGTTGGGGTCAGCACAACCCTATTTTCTTATATTATTTCCTAGTCGTTGGACATTGCACAGTTGACAAGACAAGAAGTGTCAATGGGATAAGACTCGAGTTTGATATTTGGTAACTGCGCTGAGAAGCAACTATGTTAAGTATAGGGTCTCTACAAGTACCAGGTACAAGCTCCATTTTTTACCACCAGTCTGCGATTAAAATCTAATTTACATTCTTTTAGTGACTTTCAGACGAGATTGAGGGGCCAATGAAGCTGTCCTATTTGTCTTATACTATTCCCTAAAATTTAACCTAAAAATCCAAATGTCCATGACATCCAGGCGGTCGACGTGTTTCGAGGAGCTGGACACGGAGAAAGCGGCGGCAGCGCCGGCAGTTCACCGTTCGTCTATCTTCTTCTTCCTCAAAGAAATCTCACTAGAAGTGAATTGAGTTGCAGAGAACTATGGCGGAGTATGGAGATACTGCAATCAGTGAAAATTTCCCGTTATTTTCGCGCAAAAGGATCTCACAGCGACCTAAACTCACCACCACCTCGGCGGCCGACAGTCCTCCATCCAAGGATCCCGGCGATGGCCAAAACCCTACACACCTCGAGAAGGAGACGGACCCGGATCCCACACCCGACCACATCTCCTTTTCCAATTTAGGTCTTGCAGAATGGGCTGTCCAGACCTGCAAAGAGCTCGGCTTGAAGAAACCGACCCCTGTCCAACGCCATTGCATTCCCCGAATCCTCTCCGGCCAGGACGTATTGGGCATCGCACAGACCGGCACTGGGAAAACGGCGGCGTTCGCCCTTCCTCTACTTCATATTCTCGCTCAAGATCCCTATGGAGTGTTTGCTCTGGTCGTCACTCCCACTCGGGAGTTGGCTTACCAGCTTGCCGAGCAGTTTCGTGCCCTAGGTTCGGGCTTGAACTTGCGGTGTGCAGAAGTGGTGGGAGGAATGGATTCTGTGAATCAGGCCAAGACCCTGATGCAGAGACCCCATGTTGTAATAGCCACCCCCGGGAGAATCAAGACTCTTCTCCAACAGAGTCCTGATATCCCTTCCATCTTCTCCAAAACCAAGGTTCATAATCATAACAAGTTTAGGTTTTGCAATGCTCGGACCAGTTTATGGTTATTTTTCTTAAGAATTTAATGAAATCTTAGAATTCACTATGTTTTGTGATTTCACTGCAGTTCTTGGTTCTAGATGAAGCTGATAGACTTTTGGATGTCGGGTTTGAAGAGGAACTGAGAGTAATTTTTCAATGTTTGCCAAAGAACCGCCAAACTCTGCTATTTTCTGCAACAATGACCCGAGAATTGCAGACGTTACTCGAGGTCTCTGCAAACAAAGCATATTTCTTTGAGGCATATGAGGGGTTCAATACTGTTGAATCCCTTACTCAGAAGTATTTGTTGACTCCATCAAGCATCAAGGAGGTTTCTCTTTATTGTGTTTTGTCCAAAATGGAGGAAATGGGCATTCGATCAGCCATTGTGTTTGTTTCTACTTGCAGGTGTGATTTTATATTTGATATCTGGTGCAACTTACCTGTTTTCTTCAAGTCAAGTGGAGTATATCAACAAAAAAAAGTTTGCCTGCACAAGAAAGTTATATTTTCAGATTTGACTCATTTATGTTGGAAATGCATCAACGAGTTTTGTTCAAAATACTATGATCAGCTCATATTAGATTCATTTGACTTGAAAAGATGTATTGGAGTTGAAGTAGCTATCTATCTTATCTGGAATATATATATTTTTTTGGTAAATTTCGAGCACTTCTTTATGTTAGAAAAAATCACACAAGCTTCTTTTTGGGTGAGCAGGACCTGCCATTTTTTGAGTTTGTTGTTGGAAGAACTTGAAATGGAAGCTGTTGCATTGCACTCATTCAATTCACAGTCTTTGAGACTCTCTGCACTACATAAATTCAAATCACGAAAGGTCCCTATCTTACTTGCGACTGATGTTGCAAGTCGTGGTCTAGACATTCCAACAGTTGATCTGGTGATAAATTATGATCTTCCAAGGTTGTTGATTTTATTGGATTCTATATTTTTGACAACAAGTCAACAACGACATAGTGTATCTTTATGTTGATGACTTCTCATTGTTATACTGCAGAGAACCACGTGATTATGTTCACCGTGTTGGTCGAACTGCAAGAGCAGGTAGAGGTGGGCTTGCTGCTAGTTTAGTTACAGAGGCAAGCAGTCAATCTACCTTTTTCTCCTAAAGAATTCTATAGAGGATGAAATATGGTATTCTTTCACGGAAAGATATGGTTTACATGTCCATTTGCAATTTTGCAAAATTATACTCCCTCCCCTCCAAAATTATTTGGTCAACTTTATCAGAAATTTGATGGATAGGGAGTAAATAGAAAACAGCATGGATATGGGGAATGAAGAAATCTGTTAAAAGGTTTAAAAATGATTTGTCCATGTCAAATTACTTGGAGAGATCATTTTTAAACAAAAACACTGTTTTCAGGGACAAATCATCTTTTGACCATTTACCAGATTTTTTTCTTTGGGTGTAATATAACCTTTCTTAATTTGTATTTCATACATTGTTTTTGACATTTTTGCATGTTTGTGTTTCCCTTTGATGATGCAGTATGATGTGAAACTAGTTCATGAGATCGAAGCTATCATTGGTAAACAACTGGAGGAGTTCCCTTGCAAAGAGAAAGATTCTAGTGATAATGTCACAAAGGTATATTAATCGTCTCGCTTCGAATCCCAAGCTCTCACTCTAGATGCAGCCGATGCGTTCTTGATTTGGGTTGTGATTTCTACTGCAACCTTTTGAATATTTCTTGAGTGGAATGTCTTTTGCAGGTTTTCAAGGCGAGACGTGTGGCAAAAATGAAGATGACAGATGATGGGTTTGAGGAGAAGGAAAAATCCCGAAAAGCTCAGAAGGTTAAGATGCGGGAAGAGAAAGGTTTGGTGAAGAAGAATAGGCAAAAGAGGGAAAGAACTGATACTTGAGTTTCAAAGAATGAACTGCTCTTGTTTGTGATTTTTATTCATTACTCCTTCCGTCCCATTATTTTTAGAACACGAGGAAGCGACACACGTCTTTATGCTTGCTTGATAATGAACATGTAAAGCATCGATATAGTGAGAATGGTTTTGAACCACACAAAAAATTTGACAAAATATAGTGTCGCGGACGAAAATGGTAAGATGAGACAATTATATTGGGACAGAAAGAGTATATATAACACCAGCAAATCTAAGGCATAGTTTGGATGGCATGTGATTTTGAGTTAAGACATTTATTTCAAGATTATGATTTTGAATCTTGTTTGTTTGGAACATGACTCAAGTCATGATTTTTAAGTTCATGACTATGAAACTAATTTTTTTATTAGTAATGAATGAAATTCAATCATGTGGTCCTGGCAAAATTGAGTCTAGAAAAAAGCTAGGGGTACACCATTTGGGGTACCCCATTTGTACCCCCTCCATCTCCACCACACAAAAGCAAGAGAGGAAAAAAATTTAAAAATGAAAAAAAAAATGAAGGGTTAAGATTGATGGTGTACAAATGGGGTACCCCAAATGTTGTACCCCTAGCATTCATCTTGAGTCTAATTGATGGCCACTAAAACATTATTAAGGCGTTTTAGGGCCATCTAAAGCATTAAATGTACACCAAATCCAATGTCTCTGCATAAGTGTTATACCTTTGAACGTTTACAGTATGGTTTACAATGCGTAACTTGCCTTTTTAACAGTTCACAAAATTCACAAACTTGCCTTTTTAACACTTTTCTAGAAATAAGATGCATTCAAATAATTAATGATATTTTAATTTAAAATCCAAAAAAGGCAAGTTTGTGAAGTTTGTGAACCATATGTTTGTGACTCTAGCATTTTCCTAAATAATTTATCCAACCATAGAAGTTTAAATAAACTGAATCCAAATTATATAGCTACCACACAACAATCAAATCCAAACGAACAAGCCGTGGAATTGAATTAGACCAGTCTAAACGGGGGGTTGTTACTCATATTTGTACTTGCTGTTTTGTTTTCAAATTATTTTTTCAATTAAGAATAATGAGATGTGAGATGATAGGCATTCTATTCATTCGTAAGGTTTCTTATATAGTAATTATCGATGACTATTTATGGCTACAACATGCTCGTTTGATAAAGTGTGTGTNGGGGGGGAATGAATGACTGAGTACTAGAAGGATTCCTCTTTGGATGATAGGTACTCTAGCAGGTGTATTTATTTCTTGAGTTTGAATTAATTCGTCTTAAGCAAAAGATTCTTTTATTTCTGGTTTAATGAATACATCTTTTATGGTTCAGAATCAATCTTAATTTACATACACTAAAACTCGCCATTTGTTGCAAGATTTTGTAAAATACATATGCTTGTGATAAGTTCGTGAAATTAGTAGATGGTTTTGACCTTTTGTTATTTTATGATTGGTGTAAAATTAAAATATAAAACTTTATATATTTAAAATCATGAGGTAACCATGAGGTAACCATATTCTCTTATCAAATAAACAAATATTTCTCTGTCTCAATTTATATTGTCTGTTTCAGTTTACGATGTTTAAGTGAAATTATTTTTGAATCATTTTATATGAAAAATAATGTGAAATTTAAAAATTAAAAACCTACATGAAAAATCTACAAAACTAGTGGTGACATTATTATTTTATTTTATTAAATGACTACCAAAAAAAGAGACAAAGTAAATTAAATTTGTCTATGTAAATAGTAAACATGTAATTTAATTTGGGACAGAGTAAGTAATAGACAAAAATATATAAAGAAATATGAAATAATTATACAATATGAGTAATAACGATAATAAATCAAACGGAACATAAAAAAAATATTCAAATGCATCCACATCGACAAGATGTTTGGCCAACTCCCAACAATCACATTTCTACACTCTTTTACACTCCGTTTTCAAAAACTTTTTCAATTTCCTTTTTAGCGCATTCGAAAAAGAAATTTTTACTTTCCTTCAAACAAGAATCATGTGGCTCATAATACTTCTCTCATGTGCGCAAACTTCAATCACAAAATGGGACTTGGATGCGTTAATACAATACAACATGAGTGGATTGCCAAATTAAGTCATCACAAAGTATATTATCACTCACACTTTAGGGTGCATGAATACTAGTGCAAGAACATAGCAAAACACTCATTTGGCACAAGTGTGAACTAGATCGAGCCTATAAAGCACAAAACATTTGGTAGACTTGTATACGTCTACAATGGGGATACATGGTTAGTTTCGTTTAAAAAAAGACAGCCAAACACGTAGTTGTAGAAATCGCATCCTTTGACCGTTTCTGCTCCTTTAATCACAGCTTCTGTGTCAAACTTGCAAGCTCTGGTGCAGTCGGGACAGTAGGTAACCTGGAAACACACACATGAGGGTACATGTTAAACCTTTTTTGAACCTACAGTCACAAGGAGCTTGAGGTTTTGCTCGAGTTGGTTCCTTAACACATTTCCCAAAAAGGCATGAATTTGTACCCAAATGATAGGAGTTTGCCAAATATCTATACCATCAAAGCATGAGTAAGAAACTTAAGGTGAGCAATTTCTTACCTCAAGTAGTTTAGGCTGAAAGTGGCAATCAAGCATTACATCAACACCGTACATTGCCCGAGATTTAGGTTGATGCATCTCCGGATGCACTGATGCAGCAGACTCAAACACAGATTTAATCATACTCCTAACTCTCAAATGGATATCCATCCATTTAACTGCAATAGGTAAGTAAAACAGGGTAATGTACGAAACTCTTAAAACCAGACACTAATATAATACTCCATACAAAGTACAATATTCTAATAGGCATATTTGTGCAGAGGCAAAATAGGAAGCACGGAGCACCTTTGTGCTCTTCCTCAAACTCATTCACGAAGTCTGATATATTCTTCTGCTCCAGTCTTCCTCGATAATTCTGAAGACATAACAAGGAATATAAAGTTAAAGCCTATGCTTTGATTAGACAGATAACCTAATGTTGGATACCAAAAATGGAGTTGACATAAACCAATGGATTGAGGATCTAAAGACGGGTTGGGATCCTTGGCATTTCCATTCCCCTCCATGTGCTCATACAAGTTAAACCCCCCATTTCCTTCCATTACTCGGGAGTTTGGGAGAAGGGAGATATAGGTCAGCGACAACGTGATATTATCTCTTAGCCCAAGAAATCAATCTCAGTTATCTGAGAGCGTGATTTAGTTGTATTAATTACGGAGTATTATTTAACTAATTTTATTCACTAGATTAAACAATAAAGAAAATTGCACTTTTATTTGGAAATTTCACTCAATGATGTAGACCATTTTATAAATTGTCGATAACTACTCCATAAAATTCACTTGAGTACTTACCATAACAGTAAAATGAGTTTCATATTCGTCAAAGCTGTGCTTGTCCAAAGAGTAAATATTGTTTGCTAATCTAACCTGAAAATAGAAAAGATTCGGCCAAATGCATAAAAAGCATATGAAGTTGCAAAGCATGAGTTGAACTACTAAGAATATTTATGGTTAAGCAACATTTTGCATACCCAGAATACATCTGCCAGAAAAATATCCAATGGGCTTATGCTGCGGACCAAGATGATGTAACGAAGATCAAACTTCCTCCCCTTGAACAGAGCAGGGTGCTCAATATACTTCTGGCATACTTTTGGGCCAGTCTCCATTAAACGGATAATAGTAGATAAATTGCCAGTTATGGTTGTGTCAATAGTTCTTGCCATGTTCCACGGCTTCAAGATCCATAGATTATCCACTCCATCTCTTTGCCGGACATAATAATCACCTATCATTTGATTGAGTTGTGATTCAAGGTTGTACGTGGGCTGAAGCCATTCAGGCAATCCATGAGCCTGATAGGAAAGATAACACTATTTAGCATCGCATAATGTGACCAAAAGGCAATTCAATGCCAATACATTTGACGAAATGGGAATATTGATGTGTTATTATGACCTTTTTAACTGTTTCAGCCAAATGATGTTTCATAACCAGACAAGCCTCAAAGGGAAATTGATTTATGTACTGTTGATCATTGAGTCCAACAGCCTTCTTCATCTCCTCATCTACCTGCATACATGTCCATATAATATCTGCATCCTTTGCCTCAGATGCTGCAAAAAATCAATGTAGAACATAGTTCCTGATAAATTAACAGTCAAAGTTATGTTCTTACAATCAGTCTATTGTTGTTCTGAAAAGAGAGATTTAGAGAAGAGGTTATGAAAAGAGAATAATACTGATAACTGATAATGAATACACGAGCAATTAAGCATCCTATTTATACACAATCTAAGGTTTAGGATGCTAATCTGATCAGGGTTGGGCTAAGCCCAGTAGAATTAGGAGGGTAGCACACCAAGTTTCTCAAAGGCAGTGACATCGAATGAGTTGATTGTTAAATTTAGCAAAGCGATTAGAACAAAAAAAAGTTCTGGAATTGGTTAGAGATAAAGACCTCTGGATATGGCCGCTCAGGATGTTGAACACATTGGTGTAACTGTGTTAACGGTGTCACGAATGAGTCACCAAAAGCTGAGACGTGGACTGAAAAAGAGAAGGAACTAGGATCAGAGTAGAGACACGTATGTACACTTGCGGAGACCATCAAACTTGGAGATTGCCTCAAAGTAGGATGGACGTGGTTTTTTGTTGACCGCCAACAATTAGTCAGAAGGGTTTAACAGTGCACGTGACATGATTTTGCTGGCCGGAGAGTGATGTCTGATAATGAGCCTAAACAGATTGTTCTAATACATTGCGAAAAGAGAGATTAGGGCATTAGGCAAAGAGATTATGGAAGGTGCTTAAATTTGGTAATCCCAGACCCAACTTTCATGGGATTATACTGGGTTGTTGTTGTTGCTTAATTTTGGGAATCCAAAATGAATACAAGAGTACCGTATTTATACACATAATCTACAGTTCATAGATGCCAGTCTCGTTAGAGTTATGCCAAGTCCATTAGTACAATGGTAATACATTAATACGGAGTATTACATAGGAGCATTATCATTAATACTGCTGTTTTGATTTAACTATTTTACTATAAAATACTCCACCCCAAAACAAGAGCTGTGTTTGAGTAAGGCTGTAAGGTACAACTATTTACCAATAATGAATGGTCATTTATACCACTCAAACTAACCCCCCCCCCCCACGTTCAGATACCACTTCTGAGTTCTGAAAATTTCATTTTTAAGAA